AGCCTGACGCGGGGCTCGAACTCACGGACCGCGAGATCGTGACCTGGCTGAAGTCGGATGCTTAACCGACTGCGCCACCCAGGCGCCCCTTAAATTTGTAAACTCTTAAACTTTATGTCTTCCTACACCATGCACTGGGAAAACACCAAGGTGAGGTAAGTACCTTGGTGAGAGTTTTCCTGCTTAATACATGCGTGTATATTCTGCTTAATACATGTGCCCAATACACACCAACCCTCACTTTCCTCAGGCTGGTCACTCCCACAGAACAGCAGGAGGAACAAAAGATATAATACTCCATGGGAAGATATGGTGTACTCTGCTGTTCATGCTATCCCATTGTTCTGAGAAGCTATGTGGTGTGTGTGCCCATGTACCTGTGCAGACATGGTGTATATATTTTGGCACTGTAGAAAGCCCCCAAGGAATGGAAACTGTTATTATCATTATTTCTCTTATTTGTCAGTGATCCAGATTGCTGTTGCCACCAACCTGAAGACATATGGAACCATAAGGACAGGAACCATTCTGTTTATTTCTGTTTTAGACCTTCCGTGTGTATGGGTAATCATTCTTGAAAATCAGATATTAGCTCAAAGGACTCTCTATGTCCACAAATGTAAAAGTTGAGGAACAATTCCTTGACGTTAATTCAGGAGCCCATAGTATTTGGTAATAACAAAGTACCTTCATTGAGAGTTTAAATCTTGCACAAAAACTGCACATAGATGTTTATAGCTGCTGTATTCATAATTGCCAGAACTTGGAAGAAACCAACATGTCCTTCAGTAGGTGAATGGATAAACAAACTATGGTACATCCGGATAATGGAATACTATACTGTGCTAAAAGGAAACAAACTATCAAACTATGCAAAGAATGGAGGAACTTTAAATGCATACTAGTAAGTAAAATAAGCCAATCTGAAAAAGCTATATACTGTATGTTTCCAGCCAAATGACAGTCTGAAAAGGACAAAACTATGGAGACAATAAAAATATCAATGGTTCTAAAGGGTTGTGGAGTACAAGGAAGATGAATAGGCAGAGCATAGAGGATTTTTAGGGCAATGAATGTATGCATAATGATGAATGCATGCCACTATACGTTTGTCCAAACTCAGAATGTCCAACACCAAGAGTGAACAATAATGTCAATTGTGGACTTTGAGTGATTATATTGTGTCAATGTAGGTCCATCGATTGTAACAAGTGTGCCATACTGATGGAGAATGTTGCTAACTGGGGAGGCCATGCAGGTGTGGCGGTTGGGGGGATATGGAAAAATTTCTATACTTTCTCCTCAATCTTTCTGTGAGCCTTAAACTTCTCTAAAAGAATAAAATCTTAAAATTTTTCACTTTCAATTTTCTTAAAGCCTTCAGGCTATCCAAATGGGATGCAAGGGAGTGTTGAATATGGCATGGCAATGAAATTCCGAAGTTGAACTGGGAGAAGGGCACTTCTGCCAACTATTATATGTATCCCTTCTGGGAATTCTGACTTGCCTCAGTGATGGGGATATGCACAGCAACTGGCTTGGAAATCTGTAAGCCAAACTCTCAGATCATGTCACGATCTCAGATCATGTCAAAGACTCAATATACAGGTTAGAACTCTGTTCCAAACTCTTGGTGAATATAGTGAATTTAGGGCATCAAAAATAATCCTGTAGGATTTAAAAAATGACATAACCATTTAACATTATATATCTTTCTAGGATTTCGAACTCATCTTCATCATCCATATGAAGGAACCAAGTGATTGAATCCTTGGAATTACAATGACACTTATCAGAAGCGTTTATGTATTTTGTAGTATTGTTATGTCAGTGCCGGGCTACGCGTCAAAGCCTCCAGAAGACAGGGAATGGACAACCAACTGCTCCAACATGTCCCTAAGAAAGGTTCCTGCAGACTTGAGCCCAACCGCAACCACACTGGATTTATCCTACAACCTCCTTTCTCAGCTTCAGAGTTCAGATTTTCGTTCTGTCTCTAAACTGAAAGTTTTGATTCTATGCCATAACAGAATCCAAGAGCTGGATATCAAGACCTTTGAATTCAACAGAGAGTTAAGATATTTAGATTTGTCTTACAACAGATTGAAGATTGTAACTTGGTATTCACTGGCAGGTCTCAGACATTTAGATCTTTCTTTCAATGACTTTGACAGTGTGCCTATCCATGAGGAGGCTGGCAACATGTCACATCTGGAAATCCTGGGTTTGAGTGGGGCAAAAATACGAAAATCAGATTTCCAGAAAATTGCTCATTTGCATCTAAATACAGTCTTCTTAGGATTAAGAAGTCTTTCTTATTATGAAGAAGGTAGCCTGCCCATCTTAAACACAACAAAACTTCATGTTGTTTTACCAATGAACACAAATTTCTGGGTTCTTTTGCGTGACGGAATCAAGACTTCAAAAATACTAGAAATGACAAACATAGATGGCAAAAGCCAATTGTCAAGTTATGAAACTCAACAAAATCTTACTTTAGCGAATTCCAAGACATCTATTCTATTGCTTAATAAAGTTGATTTACTCTGGGACGACCTTCTCCTCATCTTCCAGTTTGTTTGGCATACATCAGTAGAATGCTTCCAAGTCCAACATGTGACTTTTGGAGGCAAGGTTTATCTTGACCATAATTCATTTGATTACTCAAATACTGCAATGAGAACTATAAAATTGGAGCACATACAGTTCAGAATTTTTTATACTCCACAGGAAAGGGTCTACTTGCTTTTTACCAAAATGGATATAGAAAACCTGACTATATCAGATGCACAAATGCCACACATGCGGTTTCCTAATTATCCTACAAGATTCAAACATTTAAATTTTGCTGATAATATCTTAACAGATGACCTGTTTAAGCAACCTATCCAATTGCCTCATTTGAAAACTTTAATTTTGAAGGGCAATAAATTGGAGACACTTTCTTTAGTGAGTTTCTTTGCCAACAACACATCCTTGAAGCACTTAGATCTCAGCCAGAATCTGTTACAATATGAAAATGATGAAAATTGCTTTTGGCCAGAAACCTTGATCACTATGAACCTGTCATCCAACAAATTTGCTGATTCTGTTTTCAGGTGCTTGCCCAGAAGTATTCAAATACTTGACCTGAATAATAACAAAATTCAAACTGTCCCTAAAGAGATTATTCATCTGAAGTCTTTGCGAGAACTAAATCTCGCATTTAACTTTCTAACTGATCTTCCTGGGTGCAGTCATTTCAGAAAACTCTCAATTCTGAACATTGAAATGAACTTAATTCTCAGCCCATCTCTGGATTTTTTCCAGAGCTGTCAGGAAGTTAAGACTCTGAATGCAGGAAGAAATCCATTCCGGTGTACCTGTGAATTAAGAGATTTCATTCAGCTGGAAAAATATTCACAGGGCATGATGATTGGATGGTCAGATTCATATATCTGTGAATACCCTTTGAATCTAAAGGGGACTCGGTTAAAGGATGTTTATCTTCCTGAATTATCTTGCAACACAGCTCTGTTGATTGTCACCATTGTGGTTATCATGCTAGTTCTGGGGACGGCTATGGCCTTCTGCTGCCTCTACTTTGATCTGCCCTGGTATCTCAGGATGCTAGGTCAGTGGACACAGACATTGCAGAGGATTAGGAAGACAACCCAAGAACAACTCAAGAGAAACGTCCAGTTCTATGTGTTTATTTCATACAATAAACATGATTCTACCTGGGTGAAGCATGAATTAATTCCCAATCTAGAGAAAGAAGAGAACTTGATTTGCCTTCATGAAGGAAACTTTGATCCTGGCAAGAGCGTTACTGAAAATATCACGAACTGCATTGAGAAAAGCTGTAAGTCCATCTTTGTTTTGTCTCCCAACTTTGTCCAGAGTGAGTGGTGCTATTATGAACTTTACTTTGCCCACCAAAATCTCTTCCATGAAAATTCTGATTACATAATTTTTATCTTGCTAGAAACCATTCCACTCTACTGTATTCCTACCAGGTATCCTAAGCTGAAAGCTCTTATGGAAAAGAAAGCATACTTGGAATGGCCCAAAGATAGGCGTAAATGTGGACTTTTTTGGGCAAAACTTAGAGCTTCTATTAATGTTAATTTATTAGAAACCAGAGAGATGTGTGAACTACAGACATTTGTGGAGCTGAATGAAGAGTCTCAAGGTTCTGTAATCTCTCTGATAAGAACAGACTGCCTATAAAAATCCTCCCTTCCCGTAGGGAAATGGGCCTTGCATACACCATGGGGATAGAAATTGATACAGCCTTTATGATGGTTATTTGGCAATATCATTTAAATGAAAAATGACTACTTTTATGTCACTTCCTCGAAGGATTTCTAAGAATGTATCCTACAGAAATACAAGTTTGCAAAGGCTTCTATAAAACGGTGTTCATCCCAGAATTATTTGTAATACTGAAAAATTGAAAACAGCTCATGTTTCCACAGAATAAAAACGAATTCAATAAATTATAGTTCATTAATGCGATAAAATGTTACACAGCCATTAAAAAGAATGAGGTAGTTCTATATTTACTGGTATGGAGAAAATTATATTAATATGGTGGTTTATATATTGAAATAAAAGTCTAAATGAATCTATATTCAGTACTATGGCATACATACTTTGGCGATTTCACTTTGGTATAGTAACAGTGGTTTAGGCCTGGGAGGTTATATTACAGAAAACTTTTGGTTTCTATGTTGTATATTTCCATAATGTTGGAGTTGCTTAAGTGAATCTATATTTCTTTATTAGGTAGAAAAAACAAGAAAGATAATGTTTAAAGCCTACGCATCCTATTTTGCTTGATTCTTCCTTTCTAGTCTCCCCAGTCATAGAAAGAAAACAAGCTTTTCTAAATTTTGCAAAATTATATTTCAAAAAATGTTACCTCCTTCATTAGAAAAATTTCTGTGACTTACCCACTTGATAAAGGAAGAAAATGGCCATGCTTGTTTAAGATCTGACACCAATCTCCTGTTACCTTCCTGCCTCCTATCATTGAGCCGTATCAAGTTATTGGCCCTTTTCCAGAACATTCAGTCTCTTTCTCTGTCCCCAGACCTTAACATATTGCATGACTGACTGTACAATCCAAATGTCAACTTTTTTTTTTGAAAACTTCCTCACTTCTAAGTATGATGCCCCTTGATTCTCCATAACACTTCAAATATATTTCTATCACAAACTGATCATATATATTTTTAAAGTTTCCCATTCTCATTAGAGTATGAGCTCCTCAAAGGCAAGGACAGACTTCCCTCTGCCCTTATATCAACAGGTGTTTACTCAGTCCCTGGTTCAGAGAAGGTGTCAATAAGTGTTTATGGAATGGATGCCAGGTAAGCTAGAGGAACTTAGCAGGGACTCAACCAGCTTCAGGATAGAAAGACAGGGGAAAAAGGCAGAGAATCCAGAATTGAAGTATTTCTGAGTATAGCTTGAATTATGTGAAATTGCCAATATGTGGTTGCTCTTGACCTACAACACCTACTTCATCTCATTCAATCAATAAAACTAATATCCTAAGTAGGGTAAAATTAGGCTCTGCATCTACCTTATTTCCTTATAGTTGTGATCTTATGAATTTCTCATGCTAGCAGTCATTTGAGAAATTGTATTCAAGATGGTCAACTTGAGAGTATAGAGACAGGGTTGGGTGTCAATCTCTAAGCCATGTTGTGCTACCATTTGGCCAATGACCAGTCTACTTGGAGAAGCTAGAGCTCAGCAGCCTTGAGGCTGAGTGTCTCTCTTCTTCCTCCCTTATGAGCTCATGGTCTGTTTGGTAAAAGGGGAAACCCAAAGAAACCACAGTGCAGCAAGATCAGAGCATGGGGAGAATGCTTTTCCAACCAGGCTTTTTGCATCTGGGCCATTGCTATTAGTGTGATTCATGGCTTCTGGAGGAGTCAGACAGACACTGTATGAGTATTTTTAAATCTTGAGTAAATTACCCAGTGTGAGACATTTATCTTTAAAGATCAGTTAATTGAGAACATGTAAAGTAGGTAACATTAGTCCTGAAGTCAATAGGGTTGAGTTATTCCATGGTAGAATCCTCAATTTAATAATGCGGTTTTAAAAATAGATGTATTTTGTCAAATTAAAAAATAATACATTAGGTATACCTCTAGGTAACTTCTTGTTTCAGCAGCTAGACTACCATGAAATCTTACCTATCAGATCATTGTACTGTTCCAGAAACTTAAGATTTTCCAGAAAATTAGAACTTCCTAATTTGCTTGGTTTTGAGTCTTATTAGGTATATAATATTGACTCTTGTGGTATATAATAGAAAATGAATCATACATAGGTTTAATATTGGAACATGAGATTGAAGTAGCACCTAGCATGCAGAACTGAGGATATACTTTTACCCAAGAAGTTTTAGATTTCATCGAGGGACCCACTCTCCTCAAGCATGACATTGATGAGGAAGTAAGCATACACAGACTGCATGCTGTAACAGAACCCAGTGTAATGAGTCTGATCATGTTTTGAAAATGATTCCAGGCCTTATGAAGTTGCAAGTTCCTTCCCATTCCCTTGCCATTTGCCAACCTGGAGCTTCTTCCATTTTTTCTCAAGGAGATTGAGCTCTGTATCAATATTGTTCAAGTCTTCTGCGGATTCTTCAGGATGCCTTCCCAACCACTGTGCATCTCTACAGATAAATGACACTATTTTCTGGGTGTCAACAGTCCAGTGTGGATAACGTTCTATATTCTATAAAAGTGGCAAAGAGGTCTATGATAAAATGGGATTATAATCCTCAAATTCCAAATGGTTTGGAGGGAGATGAGTTTTAAATCTAATTTATGGCAAATGTTCTCTGAGGTGCAACTCCTTCGTGTATTATGATGAACCATTCAAGAAAAGCATAGATTAGGAATGTAAGTCTATGGGTGAGAGTTTAGAACCTATCAGATATAACTCTCACTTTCAAGTGGGAAATTGCATCTTTGGAATTTTAAATGACTCACCTAAGCCTGAGGTCAAACATTGATCTTTTAACTCCTACACTGATGAGACTTTTCTTTCCAATCCAGGACAAGATGCCTCTTACTTTTTGTATTTGATTTCATCATTGTGATCCTTTCATTTCCATTCTCAACAACAGAGCCTTGGATTGGGCCCCTTGCATATCCCGCTTAGACTGTCCAAAATTATTTGTGCCTGGACTCTGCAGTGTCTCCCCACTGCCTTGGACCCCTTCCTCCATCCTGGCTACCAACTCTTTTGAAGGGCCTTTGTTGAATTTCTAAGTCCTTCTTAGGGTCTGGTACTACCAAGACTGGCAGTGTTCAAGTGAGATATCCCTGGCCCAGACCCAGACCCATATGGATCCTGGTCTTCATTTGTCCCCCTCAAGATGCTTTCTGACCCACTGCCTTACACATGAAGTCAATCAGATATCCTGAGGAGCTCTAGAACTCATGCCTAGGGGGCCCTCTCAGAGTTTGGTTGTTGGACCCCAATTTGAGTTGGATAATCTGGCAAGCAGATCACTGCTGCTGGCTGAAGCAGTGTGGGACTACCCAAGATTGGGCCAACAGAATGGTGCTAACATGCTGATTTGAGATGACTCTCACACTGAACACAAGATGACTTCAGGGGTCAGGGCTATCAATAGTCTACCACCAGCCCTTAGACTTGAGCCACCAGTGTGGGCTTGTGTCTATCTGTGTTTTGACTATAGTGCCGCCTCTTGTCTATAGCACCATAGGATGGCAAGCATGGCAGCAGGTGTCTTTCACCCTGCACTCCTCCTCTTCCCCCCAGCATCTGGCATCCAGGGTGATAACTGCCATTGCTGTAGGCTCTATGTCATGTGTTAGGCAGTCTTTCAAGGATGGCTTTCAATATTGAACACAAATGGACCTTATAATCAATGTCCTCTTTTACCTTCCACTGATGTGGTGACATTGTGCTCTCCCTGTCCTAAGCCATGTTGAAGAGGGAAGTACTTATCCTGGAAGAGTGGGACTGTGCTTCTCTCTTCACACATGAACCCCTCACCGACCCTCCCCCACTGGTGTTAGTGTATGGAAGGCAAGGGTCCATTCAGCATCAAAAGAGCTCCCATTCTGGGAATGCAATGATTACTACCTCAATAGTCCATGGGAAGACAAGACTGGAAAATGCCTTGTTCTATGTTTATACCATAAAATTATGAATGGTAAACTTAACAAGACCAGAAAAGGAATATTGGTTCACATTGACCTGCATATTTTGGGGAAGGCTTGCATCAATGAAGCACAGTACCAACCATTGAGAAAGAGTCATTGGAAGGCAGTGTGGACAGATGATGCAGTGTCACGGCTATTAATGTGACCAGTGTTATAGACATACTATTAGGGAACTGAAGAGGCACAAAGAGCTATACTGTTTAATGTAAGTAGGCTCTGAAGACCCGTGTCCTTGTGATTAATTACAGCACTGCTACCATTTTCTCCTGGTGGTACATATAAAATTAACCATGGAGGGTGCATTGGATAATAAAATGCCTGAAGAGATGGTTCTTGGATTTGAAACAAGAAGACATGGTGCTTGGATCTCACAAAGACTCTTTCAATGAACCACCTAGAAAATAAATGATATATAAGTAACTCTTCTCTATCCATCTTCATTAATAAGACACCAAGCCTCCTATGGGTCCGTACATTTTGAAACATTTTTAAATCAAATTATTTATATAGACACGAGTCTATATATATAGACACGA